GAAATGAAGTGCAAAGCCCCCTTGAATACTTCTTTTTCCCTGATTCTTTCCCAGAGGGTAATTTGCTATATTAGTTTATTTTTCTCTTTAACATACATTTTTACCATTTACTTTTTTTTAAACTTAGAGGAATTTTGAAGGCCTGTTATGTCACAACGCACAAATATATTTCATTCTTTTTAACTGCTGCACAGTATTCCGCACTGTAGATAAAACAGTTTAACCATTTCCTTGTTCGTGGCATTTAGGTTTTTTATTTTTGGCCATTACAAACAATCTTGCCAAGAAAATCTTTCAGCTTGCCTCCTTGTATCTTTGCATAAATTTGACTCTAAAGGAGACAGAAGTAAAATTGTTGGGTTGAAGTATGTTAACATGTAAAATTTTAATACATTCTGCCAAATTGGGCTCCAAAAATACTGTACCTCTTTTTACTTCTTCTAGTGATGTTTTGGCTTACCTATTTCCCTTATATTTAGGCTAATCACTGATAGTATTAAACTTGATTATTTTGCTATTCCAATGTGTGAAATTGTTATTGTTTTAGTTTGATTTCCCTGGTTATTAGTGATACGAGGATCTTTCATATTTATTGGCCATTTCACTTTCTGTGAATTGCCTGTTCATATCTTTTGCTCATTTTCTGTTTTTATCTTTTCTCATTGACTTATAGGAAGTCTTTTTATATATTCTGTATACTAATCTTTTGTTGTTTATTTTGCAGACATTTTCTCCCAATCTGTCACTTGTCTTTTAATCTTTAAAAACAGTTTTGTTTTTACACTGTTTACATTTTGGAGACAAACCTTCCCTGTGTCAATTTTATAACTATATTCTCCTTCATTTTATTTTAATACTTAATTTTTTATGGTTAGCTTTTTCATATATCTGGAATTTATTTTTTGTGAAAGTGTGAGGTATGTATGTCTAACTTCAGTTTTTGTCCAAACTGATGGCCAGTTATCCAAACACTATTCTTTCCTAAATAATTTGAAATTTTATCATATTCTATCCTACTCTCTATTTTATACCATTGGCCTATTTGTCTATCCTGTTCATATCATATATTTTTTATTATTGTAGTTTCATGGTGTGTTTTGATATTTGGTATGATAAATTCCTCCTGTTTGTGATCATTTTCCAAGATTGTCTTGATATTTTTGTGCATTTTATCTTCTAGGTGATTTTCAACTAGTGTGTTAAATTCCATAAATAAATTATTTTACAGTTTTCATGGGTGCATGATTGTATTAGGCTCATGCAACAGTTATGGAAAACCCAATTACCAGTGACAAAATATAATGATGATGATGTTGACGATGATTGTAGCTTTGTATTGCTGGTAGTTCTTCCAGCCACTTCACTCGTATTACCTCATTTAATACTCACCACAGCTCTCTGAGTTAGATGATTATTCCTGTTTTATAGATGAGGAAACTTAGCACACAGCAGTAAAATAACTTGCTCTTGTGTTATTCAGCTAGTAAGTAGTAGGGTTGGGTTCAACCCAAAGATTGCTCTGGGCTCCTTAGTCTGTCTCATTGTTGTCTATTTCTGTACAGCTACCATATTGCTTTCATTACTGCAGCTTTAGAATAAATAAATTAATATTTATGACATCAATTTTTTTTTTTTTTTTTTTGAGACAGAGTCTCACTGTGTTGCCCGGGCTAGAGTGCCGTGGCGTCAGCCTAGCTCACAGCAACCTCAAACTCCTGGGCTCAAGCAATCCTTCTGCCTCAGCCTCCCGAGTAGCTGGGACTACAGGCATGCGCCACCATGCTCAGCTAATTTTTTCTATATATTTTTAGTTGTCTGATTAATTTCTTTCTGTTTTTAGTAGAGACGCGGTCTCGCTCTTGCTCAGGCTGGTCTCGAACTCCTGAGCTCAAACAATCCGCCCGCCTCGGCCTCCCAGAGTGCTAGGATTACAGGCGTGAGCCACCACGCCTGGCCTATGACATCATTTTATTACTTCACAATTTTCCTGGCCTACTCTTACCTTTTAATTTTTTCAAAACTTGAACATTATTTTATGAAGTTATAAAACTCTACTGTTTTAATTGAGATCGTATTGAATGTGTAGATTAATGTATAAAGAATTGATATTTTAAAATATTGTGTCTTATTTGCCTTCTGTGCAGTGAAGTGGACTTCTGAAGTTGTCTTCCCAGAAGTCCTGTGTAATTCTTAGGTTTATTTCTAGGTATTTAATGTTTTTTTAATAGGTATCATACATGATATTTTTCAAAATTATATTTTCTAACTGATTATTGTTTGTTTATAAAACAGTAAATTTTCTGCTGCTTTTGTTACCAGTCTTATTACTTAATCTTTGAATTTTTATTAAATTTTTAGTTTATTTTATAAATAATGATATTTTTCCCTCTTCCTTTCCAATATTTATGACTCCTCTTACTCTTGACTAATCAAAATGGCTAGTACTTCCAGAACAATGCTAAATAATAGTGGTAAGCCAGATGTGGTGGCGTGTACCTCTAGGCCCAGATACTTGGGAGGCTGACGTGGGAGGATCGTTTGAGCCCAGGAGTTCAAGTCTAGCCCAGGCAACATAGTGAGACTCTGTCTTCTTAAAAAACAACAAAAAAAGTACAGCATCTTTGCCTTTTTGTGACTTCTGGTATTTTATCACTTGAGTATCTTCATAGTACAGCCATAGTACAGTGTCGCTTTAATGACAGGGATACATTCTGAGAAATATGTCCTTAGATGATTTCGTCATTGTGCAAACATCATACAGTGTACTTACACTAACATAGATGGTATAGCCTATTGCTCCTAGGCGACAAACCTGTACACTATTTTACTGTACTGAATACTGTAGGCAGTTGTAACCAATGGGAAGTATTTATATCTAAACATAGAAAAGGTACAATAAAAACACAGTATAAAAGATAAAAAAAAGATACACCTTTATAGTGTGGGTTCGTTATGATCTCCTGGGACCATGATTGTGTATGTGGTCAGTTGTTGACTGAAATGTCTTTTTTTAAATTAAAATGAATGTTTATGGACTGTAAACCTATGAAAAGCCATAACAATATTATTTTTATGTATTTTCCAATAAGTCAGATAACAGTGTAAGCTTTGAGTAAAATAACAAAGATAGGAATTATAAATAAGAATGATACTGTTTTATGTCCATCCTGCTTTTAACTGTGCAACTACTTAAGAGCAAGAGGCAAGAAATAAAAATGTGTATATGGGTGTGGAAGAAAATTCATCTCATGATGCTGTTACCTTTGTATTTGATCCTGCACGTAGAAAGTAATTTCTTCTTATCAAGGAAGGAGTTTTCCAAAAAAAGCTACTTACTGACAGCAAATTAAATGTAGAGGAAAAAAACACTTGGGGCTACGCTGTGAAGATTTGTCTTCTGCAGACCCAGTCTAGGAATTAAGAAATAGCCTGTTTAGTGAAGCATTGACAAGGAACTCAGGCTGTGTTTATAGAATAGGAGCTTCATTGTAATTACAAAACTCAGATCTCTAAAAGAAGAAAACGTTAGACTTGGTAAGTTTAATGATTATATAGTAGCTTTTCAAAACCTGTTTGTAGTCTTGAGAATGTGAATTTTATTTAGTTTAGATCTTACAGGCTATATTTTGTAATTTGAAATTAAGAGACTGAAATGTCTTTTGTGGTGCATGACTCTATAAACAAAGAAAACCTCCCCCTTTTGTGCCCTGAAAGAAGGTGGGCTGACGAAAGTTGAGAGTGAGGAGAGGAAACGTAAGATATTTATGTCCTGATTTCAGGTGTTAGAAGAGCCCAGAGGGACTTCTGCTCTATTAGCCATGCAGATACCTAGACAAAGATGACCTCTTGCTGAAATTTGGTTCCTTTTTGATGTGAAAGGAATCCATAATTCACACCTCCGAGGGGGAGCTGGGAAGGCAGCTGAGCTGGGAGGCAGTGGGCCTGCTATGGCATCTGTCATAGCAGGGGACAAGACGACCTCAGAGCAGAGCTGCAGGTGGGTGCCCCGAGCTGGGTGATTCAATAGGGGACGTGACAGGCATTGAGGGGATCTGTATTTCTAGTGAGAGCAAGTGTGAGGCTACCAAGCCCTGTCAGGCTGAGAGACCAAACTACAAGTTACACCAGCATGCAGTATTTGAGATCAGTAGCACATGCAGCCACCAGAGAACAGCACAAGGACCTCAGTGGACCTGAGCCCCTTGTGTTATATTCTCACATGCCCTATGAGAGAGTAGCTGGGGATCGGAGGGGGAAAGACTGAGCAATTGTCCCACACTGTTTACATTATAAGATAGGACTGACTTTAACCAGTTAGGACTAAAAGTTCATTTCCTTCCCTCTACCTGTGGTGTGGGGGAGGTGGTGGTTTGCGAAGAAGATAGAACAGTTATAAATTTTCTCTGCAGCTTCCTTCCTTTTGGTCCCCAAAGTCAGTGTTTTTAGCAGTTGGTCTTTGTGGTTTATGGTTTGGGGTTGTGGATGTTTCTCATTTTGGTGAAGAAAGAGCTTGTTTGTTTTATTTTTCACACTTTCTTTGTAGGTGGTTTCCTAGTAAGGAACAGAGTAAAAATACACTTACTCTACCTTCTTCAACCAGAAATTCCTTATTTTGAATGTCTAATTTTTGATAATGTTATGTAACTATATTAGGGTTTTGTGCTTCTGTATTGACATATAATTACATTAGTGCATAATACTTTTTTTCTGTGAAAAAGGTCTTAGAAATATGCTGGGAAATGCACATTTACTTATTTGCCTTTACTTTATATGGTAGACAAAAATCTAAATATTTCTTTTTTGTAGAAATGATTTTCTGGTGATTCTGCTGAGGTTCCAATTTATTTCACATTTTTAGCCTTTTAAATAAAGATTTAATTTTCCTTCTCCATATATTTTGTTCTCAGGTGCACCTTCAGTTGAACTTTTAGAATCTCCAGTTACAGCCATGGACCACCCATTTCTAAAAGCATTTCAAGCACCATCTATTTCTTCTCCAGAAATACTAACAGATGGTAATGAAATTAAGTTGAGAAATATTTTTGGGCATAGTAAGTTAGAATATAGAGTTTTGATTTGTTTTATAGGCTTCTTTCTTTTTT